ATGAAGGCTTAGAGAGGGATTTCCTTAGACTCTGCCAGCGCTGTTCATGTTGGAAAAGCAGTTAGCACTGATTTATTGGGTTGTGAACAAACGAGCTTTGAGATAAACCTTCACACACCCGCTGGATTAGTTTGCTGGGGCTGCCATCCGAAGTACCAGAGATTAGGAGGTTTAAACAACATTTATTTTCTCACAACTGTGGAAGCTAGGAGTTCGAGATCAGGTGTCAGCAGTGTTGGCTTTTCCTGGGGCCTCTCTCCTTGGCCTGCATGCGGCCGTCTTCCTGTGTCTTCATGTGGACTTCCCACTCTGTGTCTGCCCTGCCTTCTCTTATAAGGTGTATTAGTCAGGGTTCTCTCAGGGGAACGAACCAATAGGATCTGTGTAGACACGCATAAGGGGATTTCCTGGGGGAATTAGCTCACGTGATTATCGAGGTGATGCCCCCAAACAGACTGGCTGCAATCTCGTGACCCTGGGATGCTGGGGGCCTGGCTCAGTCCAAGTCTGAAGGCCTCTGAGGCTGGGAAGGCGATGCTGTAACTCACAGTCCAAGAATGAAAGCTCGAGGAGAGCGTGGGGGCTGCCGGTGTGAATCCCGGAGTCCAAAGGCAGGCAGGCCTTGAGTTCCAATGTCCGAGGCAACAGAAGTCTGTCTTGCTCTCTCTCCAGAGAGACCTATCCATAGTCCATATTTATTCTCTCCAGGCCCCTGGTGGATGGGATCACGCCCGCCCACACTGAGTGTGGCTCTTCCCACCTACTCTGCTCACACTGGCACATTCATCTCTTCAGGAACCCCCCGCCGTGGGTGCTGCTTTATCAGGCTTCTAGGTATTCCTCAGTGTCAAGTTGACACTTAAAGCTGATTATCGTGGGAGCAAGCAGGTGATGTGAGGTTAAGGCACTGGATCCCACATGGCCTATTCTGTAGTTCGAATCTGGACCTGGCAGCTTGAGAATCACACTGGGCATGTGTGAGCGTGGGGCCAAAGTCCTGAGAGGAGGATAGAAGAGAAGAGATTGAAGTGTGGCCATCCCCCCAACTCAGGGGGTGATTTCTCTCTTTCCCCTTCTCTCTGCCTCTCTCCAGTGAGTATATATGCCTCATGACAAAAGTCTAAGACAACAAAACAAAACGAAAAACACTAGCCGTCATGTAAGGACACCAGGCGTATTGGGTCAGGGCTACCCCAGTTACCTCATTTAACCTTAAGTACCTTTTAGGGGTCACATTTGAAATACAGTGATATTCTAAGGTAGTAGGGGTTAGGACTCCAATGTGTGACTTTGGGGAAGGGCACAATCCTGTTCATGGCACACACACACGCGCACACACACACACACACACACACACACTCATTCATGCACGCACTCTTCATACTGTTTTTATAAGCCTCCTAAAAGTAAATGTTTAGTCTTAACTTAAGATATACTAAGGGCCAAATTCTTAGGTCCTGACATGCAGAGATTCCCCAGAGAGAGGCAGAGAGAGAGCACAGTGCACTCCAGAAAGGCTTCCACAGCACGAGGGTCATCCCTAGGGAAACCTGGCTGGTCTGGTGTACGAGCCAGTCGGTGGGAGGACTTCTCCTTCAGAGCCTTCCTCCTGTGTGGAGATGTTCTTTGGGAAAACTGAACCCACTTCCTAGCTTTCATTCTGCCTGCGGCTCCAGGTGAGCCATGGGCCCTGAGTGCATCTCTGGCATCCCAGCAAAAGCTGAGACAACTGTGAGGTATAGTGAAATTACAGAGAAGCCCTAGGGGAGTGAGGGAGCCTTGTTGTCTCTAAGGCATGTGCCTCATGGCAAGTGTAGGGGAGGATAACATGGAATACAGCCCTGGGTGTTTCCCCAGAATATTTCAGACTCGACTGAAAAATGTCTTGGAGAAGCATACGCCTTGGCATTCTAGGGTGCAAAGGAGGCTGTTCTTTCTAGGCAGAAACAGCTGTCTCAAGGCAGCTGACTCCAGGAGGGTACACTTGGGAGGAAAAGGCGTGGGGCCTACGTGGTCGTGACTCACCTATGTACCGCCCTGTCTTGGGCTCACAGGTCCAGATTCCCACCCTGAGGTTGGCCCACCCAGGCTGCATGGCTTCCTCCAGGCAGCCCAGACTCCTTGCAGGGTGCTGCCTCTGTGAAAAGCACAAGGCTCAGCAGGGGCCCTAGGACAGAGCTAGACATACTTCAGACTTGCCGGGGGTGGGGCAGTGAGGACAGCATTTCTGCTGTAGGAGATATGGGAGGATTGAGAACAGGTAGCATGGCCCTCACCATGGAACTCCTGACCCCAAGGCCACAGTCCTGTAGGGTATAAGGAACCCCGAGCAGGGACTATTGTCTTCTGACCCAGCTCCCTGGGCTTTTAGGGGTCATTTAACCCCAGAGCTCACACTCTTCTCCCAGCCTTGTAGACCTCACTTGGGTGTCCCAGGGCTGTGAGAAGGTGGCCCCATAGGGATCCTGCTGCCTTTGTCTTCTTGGGCACTTGCTCCAAGTCCTTTAGATACTATATCTTTAACCCTTGTTTCTTCTCCTCCTCCTGTAAGATCTAGTTGCTGGCCATCCCTGGGGGCCAGAAAAGGCCCTGTCTCCCCCTTCACCTGGGCCTCTTGGCCCCTCATTGCACCTGTCCTGGGTTTCTCCATGCTGGGTGTACAAGAGGTGTCCTTTGTATGCTGTGGGGAGCTAGTGTGTCCTCTGGTTTGGACCCCCTGGGAGACTCCAGAATGCCAGAAACCCCAGGCTGCAGAAGCTGAGTCCAGGTCTGCATTAACCATTGTGTTCCCAATCTGCTTCAACTGTGGCTACAGTACTGTTAGCACGTTCAGGAAATGTTCAGGAACATCAGAAATGAGTGCAGGCCCACATCTCTGCCTCCCAGATCCCTAATGTGGGAAGGAACTCCCTCCCACACTTCATTCCTATCTCCAGACAGAAGTTCCCACCATGGAGGGACTGACTATGACCCCTCGGCTCAAGCAGCTACCCCACCCACACCTTTGCACTCCATCCCCTTACCTTGATTTATTTTCCCCGTGGTTTCTCTTTTTCTTACAATTCCATATCAGTGCTGTAGTCTACTCTGCCAACATTGTTTACAATGTCTGCCCCTTCTAGTCTGTAAGTGCAGGAGAGCACAGGCTTTCTCACCCACTGCTGTGTCCCCACCATGAACGCAGAGCCTGGCTCACTGTAGGCACCCAGTCTAGCCATGCTGGCTGAATGGGCAGGATGGCCTGTGGGCCAGAGTGCAGTGATTTGTCCAGGAAGCAAGTTCAACTCTGAGATTGAGGGGATGAAGGGTGGAAATGGGGGGTGGGGGGGTAACTTCTCCAGGTTAGACATGTTATTGATTGATTCATCCATAAATACAGTCCGTGTAACCTAGTGAAAGTATTGGTAATTAAGGATTCCAAGGGTTCTGTGAAGACTCTGTCTCTGAAAACTGCAGGCAATATCTCTGTCCAGTCGGGATGCTGAGGGTAAAGGTCAAGAGGGCCTGTACCCAGGAGTGGCTCTCCAGCAGGGAGCTGGGTTGAGGTTTGTAGGTTTTCAGGGCTCTGAGGGCAGCAGGACCTTGGAAGTTTGGGCTTCAGTGACTCCTGCGGTCATTTTCAGGAAGAAAGCAGGTCTCTCTGTCACTAAGGGTACCTGGCGATTCGAGTATACAAGGGGACTTCAAAAAATTCATGGGACCAGTGGAATTAAAGCACAGATTTATTTTGGTGCAAAATTGTTTTTTGAAATCCTTACTTACATAGTGTTTTCGTAGTACGCTTTTCCCATGAGCTCTTTGAAGACCCCTCTTATGACTGCCCAGGTGACTGGCCCGTGTGACTTTCCATACCCCATGTGGCCTGAAAATTCTAACAGCGGTGAGAGCTTGTCATTCCGGACTCGGAACTGCCGGGCACACTCCGGGGAGAGGTAACAGGATGGCTGCCTCCCACCGGACTTGGTAGGAGTGATTCGTGCAGATCTGGACAGCATAAAGGATTCTGGAGGTTTCCCAGGGAGAGCAATGCGCTGGAAGAAGGAGAGAACAGAAGCCTTTAGAAGGGAAAGGGCCTGGGGCCAAGCAAAGGCGGCTCTGCTACCTTCGTGTTTTGCCTGGGGCGGAACCCATTTTCGCTCCACAGCCAATTCTACAGTTTTCGCAGAAACATAGTCAGCACTTTGAAAGCGAGCAGCAAGCTAAACTGCCCTTCAAACAAAGATTCGGGAGAAAAAAAAAGAAAAAAGAATAAACTAGTAAGACGGTGAATTTATAATGCACAGTATTTAATAATACTAAAATAAAGAATGGCAGGCTGAGATTTTTATGTTGCCTCCCAAGAAATTTTTTAGGCATATTTACTGAGTTTTAGAAGGGTTGTGTGTGTGTGGAGAGGGTGTGAGGGGAAAAGGCATCATTTCCCTGCCTATGATAGAGTGTAATCACTCATGCCTTGGCATTTATTAGAATGCATAAGATTTGGAAGAAGAAGAGAAAAAAAGTATGGTTTGTTGAAATATTTTGGAAGACTATGACAGCTATTTTCAATTTTTTTTTGTTAGTAACACCCAAAATAGTATTTCTGAACCAAATGTGGTGGGTCAAAAAATTCTTACAGTGGTTATCCTGGGTAGGAAAAATATGGTTATTTTCTTCTTTTTAACTTTTGTATTATTATTATTTTATGCCAAAGAGTATGTGTGTTGGCCAGAGAGAGGGAGACAGAACCTCCAAATGGGGTGTGGTCATGCTGCAATCCCTTCTTCATTTCTCCATCCTGTCAGGATTTGGGGCACACATGCACATCCACCCAGTGTGTTTTTCAAGCCACTGGATCTAAGACTTGAACCATGTGGTAAGTCACGTGGGATCCTATCCCCTAACAACCAGGCCATGGGCCAGCCCATCATAATTTTTTTTTTAATTTCAAAGAAATGTTAGTCTTGTTTAATAATAGGACTGCAAATTCAAAATGTTTATTTTCTTTTTTTCTGCAATAGGGTTACATGATGGAAAACCGAATATCAGGCTTAAAGTGTGATACGGATGTGTTCGTAACTTTTGAAGGTGACAACACTATTATGCTTCAGGTAAGATCAGGAAATGTTTATTCTCCTTTAACGATATCACTTTTTAAAAAAATTAAATTTATTTGTTTTACATTCATTCACTGTACCTCATTACAGCGTATGAAAATGAGTCTTCCCATCTAGAATACACTGCATTATGGCTCAATCAAGGGTATTATCATACATGTTATTGTCAGCAAGTAATTGTCCATTTCTTCTTTCTTACATATTTTGCTTCTTTTTTTTTTCAATGACTTCATTTTTAAGGTAAAGAATTCTCCATAAATATGAAGCATTGCATTCATTTTATCTTTTCTGAGGTCTTCTTATTATTGGCAGGTGTTTTCCTGTCGGGCACTTGCTATTTGCAGTAGCTGAACAGGGATTACATTATTTCTTTCCAATGATCTTCAACATTGAATTTCATCTTTTTTGATTTGAGACAACTACTAGGACATATTAGGTCAGATTATTCTACTGGGAAGACTGTTCCAAAACAACATGTAGGGCCCAGAGGATGAGCCGGCAAAAGACATGAAAAGCCAACTTACAGAAGGAGGGCAACTGATCACCCTCACCACTGATCAAAGGAAGGCATATTAGGACACAGTGCTATTTTTTTTTTCCTCTGTCTATCAGACTGGTTCATGTTGGAAAGTATGTGGAAGTCCCATTGTTGGTAGGGGAAGACAAGGTATTCTTGCATGTCGCTATTAGACAGTGTAATTCTATGACCAGGACACTATCCACAGGTAATAGTCCTAAATACAGAAAAACTCTGAGGCACAGACATTTTCATTAGTAAATTATTTATTGCAGCAATAATGTTGGAATCTACATTTTTAACAGTAGGAAAATGATCATGTAAATCATGTTTTAGCCAGTCAGTGGGGAATTATATAGTCTTAAAATTGTACTTGCAAACAATTTTGTTTATAACAGGGATTCAAACTGATGATGTGGTGAGTAAAAACAAGACAGTCACAATTTTGTGTTTTTAAAAAAGACTAATAGGGACTTCCGGTCTGCTGAGGAAGAATAGCCCCATTCCTTGCAGATCCTCTCATTTAGCTACCAGATACCCCAGACAGGATGAACACGCATAGGAGGGCTCTGGAAGGGGGAAGAAGGTGGCTACTTACTTGCTGAACAGCAAATTCTCTGGGTTTCCTCATCGCCTCCCTTATATCCCAGACAAGGTATGCAGTACCCACATCTCCAGCAGGCACAGACAAGATATGCTCCAAGGAAAGCCTGTTCACCCTAGCAGAAGGACCAGGAAAACAGTGGCCTAACAACAGAAAATCTTCTGGGCAATACTCATCACACACCCATCAGACAGTACAGAAAAATGTAACCCTCCCTCCGCCTCCCACCAGTCATTACAGCAGGGCCTGATCTCCCATCCAACCCCACCCAAGGGAGGTCAAGCAAGTGGTGGCCCTCCTACCCCTATACGTTGGCGCTGGTGGGCTGAGCAGCAAGCCGGTCTTCCAGGCCTGTCTTGATGGAAACGAGTGGTCCCCAGGTTCCTGTCTGAGTAGCACCAGCAGGGCCCACTGGGGAACTAAGCCTCTTCCCTGATCCAGCTTCAATTTGGCAATGTAAAGCCAAGCTCACCACTTGTATGCTTTGACCTCCCACTTGAGTCAGAAGGGTCCAGTGAGGAGCAGAGTCCAACATACGTAGACTAAACCAGGTGTGAGTAGGGGTAGTCACCCTCTGCATTCTCCCCACCTCTGCTGTCAGTGGGCCCAGCTGAAGCTCCACGCCCACATGGCAATGAGAAGCTAGATCAGGCACTGTGAGCAGGGCTAGTGGGCATGTGGACCCCTCCTCTCCTGGTCCCCTCAACCCCTAAGGTGGCCAGATGAGGAGCTGAGCCTCCAGTCTTACCTGGCATCCATAGAATGGAGTGCTATAAGGTGGGGTACTTCATATGCTACTCCCCACTTCCCTGGCTTTAGTGAGGAGCTAAGCCTCTACCTCACCCAGCATCAGTGAGGCACAAGCCTCATTCAAGCAATGGCAAAGTATAGATATGAAGATCAGATAAGTGTTGCTAAGAGCAAGGTAGAGAAAAAGGAAGCAGGTGGCTGTGGTTATTAAGAGGGAGCGCAAGGAATCCTTGTGATGTAACTGTTCTGCGTCCTTACTGTAGTGATGGTTACACAAACCTGCACATATGGTACGATTGCATGGAACTAATCGTGTATGCACACATGTACGCATGTGCACATGCACACAGAGCTGCATGCAAAACTGGTGAAAACAATAAGCTCTGTAGAGTGCACCAATCTCTTTTTGCTGGTTGGGATGCTGTAGCGTACTATGGGAGGAACCAGGTAAAGGGTGCAAAGGATCTCTCTCAAGTATTCCTTACAACTCATTGTTGCGATTGCGTTCTTGCAAGTGAATCTACAATTATATTTAAATCTTTTAAAAAGAAAATCTTAAAACCTATGCATGAGTAAATTTAGACATAAATATAACAATAGGCATCTCCATGTTGCAGTGACTCTGGATGCTTAAAAGAGAACATTCTTTTCATTTTTGTGTATTTTGAAGTGTATTATAATGAAGCTGATGGGTGGTTTTTACAATGAAAGAACTTGCTTTTTTCTTTGGGTGGGGGAGGTTTTTGCTGTAGGTCGCATGCGCTTGCCAGAAAGAAAGAGACAGAGAGACAGAAAGCGAGAAATTACCCCCCAGGGGGATGGCCACACCACAATCCCTTCTCCTCCATTCTGCTCTTGGGATCTTGGGCACACACACACACATGCCCCTGGCGTGAGTTTAAGTCATCGGATCCAGGACTCGAACCACAGTCGACTACATGGGAATTCAGCAACATAACCATTATGCCAACTGCTGGTCCCAAGAACTTGCTATCGTAAAGAGTAATTCAGAGTCAGCTGATGGCATGGTGGTTAAGGTAGCTGGATCCTATGTAGCTAACTGTAGTTTGAGTCCCAGACCTGGTGGCTTGAAAAACATGATGAGCATCTCAAAAGGAGAATGCAGGAGAGGAGATCATGGCATGGCCATTCTCCTTGGGAAGTGATTTCTCACTTCTTCCTTCTCTCTCTGTCTCTCTCCAGTGAGTGCATGGGCCTTATAGAAAATTAAAATGTAAAAAAAGTGATTCTAACATTTTTAGAACACTATTCCTGATGCAGTCCACTGAAAAGTAAAATACTACATGGTATTCAGTGCAGTTCTTCCCTACCTTAATATTATTTTAGCTTTTGGAGGTATCTACAGTTAAGTTAATTATTTGAGGGAGTTAAGAATTATACATTAAATTGGGCTAGATTAAAACTCATCTATTCTTTTATTTCCATCCTGCCTCATGTTCTAACAAAACTGCTCTCTGGGTTGGGCCCCACGCCTAGTGGTTAAGGGAATGTGGTCCACTAGGTTCAAATCCCAGTCCAATGGAATACTACTCAGCCATAAAGAATAATGTGATCCTTCGATACAATGAGGTAATTCAATACAAAGTAGAAAAATCTAGATGATACAACATAAGTGAGATAAGCGGGACTGAAAGATAAGCACTCCGTGTCCTTGCGCAATGGCTTCTGAATGTCTGCACTCTGTGGCAGAAGTTGAAAGATTTGAAGACATAGAAGTGGAGAGGACAAATGTAGATACCAGAGACCACACAGGGGTGGAGGGGATGGGAGGAATTGGAAAAAATGTGTTTCACAGATAAAGGAATGCAGGCAGATGGGGCAAATGTATTGTGGGGCAGCATACCACAACTGAGTGAAAAAAACAGACATTGCCAATCATTTATATATCTTTTTAGAAAGAGAGAAATTTTTACCATAAGACACATGTGCTCACTGGAGAGACAGAGAGAGACAGAGAGACAGGAAGAGAAAAACCACCACCTGGGGGAATGGCCATGCTGCAATCCATTCTCTATTCTCCTCTTGGAATTTTGGGCATGCATGCACACACGCCCGGTGTGAGTTTCAAGCTGCTGGATCCAAGACTCAAACCCTGATCAGCCATATATATATATGAAATTATATATATATATGAAAGAGTGAGAGAGAAAGTAGAAAAACTGGTAAACACTAACAATACATATCATAATGTGGTATTCTTTGTTGAAAACGGTGAACATGGCATTATCCTTAATTTGATTATCACACACTGCATGCATACTTTGAAACTCCATATTACCCCACAAAGATGCATAACAATCAAATATAAGTAAGAAATTATGAAATGAAATAGAATAGACAAAAACTTGTAAGTCCCTCTAATAAAACAAAGAAGAGAAAAACACAGCGTGTGTGTGTGCTCCAACTCTGGACAGGATGAAGAGATGGAACAGAAGGGACTGTGGCATGGCCATGCCCCACTGGGAAGTACTTTCTCCATCTCCCCTTCTCTCTTTCTCTCTCTCTCTGGCAAGTGCATACACCCTCTGGTTAAACTAAACAAAACAAAAATCACTCCCTAAGAATATTAGCAATTCAGGAATTGCACTGGCTCACATTCTCCATTTTGGCTGATAATCTAAGCGTTGAGGCTTATCAACTTTCTCCTCTGGAGGGTATTTTAAAGTGAATCCTGTGTTTCTACATTGCCTGACCCTGAAGTTGTGACTTAGTTCCTCGGCTGCAAGCTTGCAGGCATTCTGAAAAGGCTGTTCAGTTTGTTGTGGGAGTGGTCACAGGTTCTATGACTGAAATGGAAGTGTGGGGAGCGACAGTGGGTCCTGCTGTCCGTCATATAAATGGAACCACGAAGAGTGAAAGGAGGAACTCTGCTGCATGGACAGCAGTGATGTGCAGGGATGCTGGGCTGGAGGGCGGCCGAGCACCTGGTCAGGAGGCAGAACACCCTTGTGCAACAAGGAGCACCTAATGCTCCAAGGCCGAGGCTGAGGAAGAACCAGGGAATGGTCTCCTTTCATAGTCTGCTAAAAGGGAGACCACCAGAGACCTTAAATCCAGACTGTGTAAGCCTTCATTGGCCAATTTGCCAGATAGACATCTTCC